AAATAAATGAATGGGACTACATCAAACTAAAAAGCTTCTGTACAGCAAAAGAAACCATCAACAAAACAAAAAGGCAACCATCCGAATGGGAAACTATATTTGCAAGCAACGCTTCCTATAAGGGCCTAATATCCAAAATATACAAAGAACTCATTCAACTCAATAACAAAAAAAGCCAAGCAATCCAATCAACAAATGGGCAGAGGACCTGAACAGACACTTCTCCCTAGAGGACATACAAATGGCCAACGAACATATGAAAAGATGCTCAACATCGCAATCTAGCAGGGAAATGCAAATCAAAACCACAATGAGATACTATTTCACACCTGTTAGAATAGATGTTATCAACAGGACAAGTAATAACAAATGTTAGAGAGGATGCAGAGAAAAAGGAACCCTTATACACTGTTGGTGGGACTACGAATTGGTACAGTCACTATTGAAAACAGTATGGAGGTTCCTCAAAAAAACTAAGAATTGATCTATCATATGATCTAGCAATCCTTCTACTGGGTATTTACTCCAAAGACTTGAAAGGTCATATCTGAAAAGATATTTGCACATAGCAGCATTATTCACGGTGGCCAGGAAATGGAAGTAACCAAAATGTCCTATGATAGATGATTGGATAAAGAAGCTGTGGTACATATATACAATGGAATATTAGCCATAAGAAGAGAGGAAATACTGCCATTTGCAAAAATATGGAAGGACCTCGAGATAATCACACTAAGCAAAATAAGCCAGACAGAAAAAGTTGAAAACCACATATCACTTATATGTGGGATATAGACCTAAAAGCAACAAATGAACAGGACAATCAGAGACTCATGGACATGAGTAATAGACTAGTGGTTACCAGAAGGTAGGGAGGAAGTGGGGAGGAGGTAGGTAGATGGGGTCAGATATGTGGTTACAGAAAGAAATCTAATTATGGGAGGGGAATACACAATGCAATATATAGATGCCTTACTGTTAAATTGTACACCTGAAACTTACTGGATTTTGTTAACCAATGTTACCCCAAAAAAAAAAGAAAATAAATTTAAAAAAATTTTTTTAAAGAATTTAAAAAATGTCCATACTACCCAAAGCAATCTATAGATTCAGTGCAATCCCTGCACTACCAATGATATTTTTCACGGAACTAGAACAAATTTTCCTAAAATTTATATGGCACCACAAAAGATCCCAAATAGTCACAGTGTTCTTGAGAAAGAACAAAATTGGAGGTGTTACACTACCAGATATCAAACTATACTACAAGGCCATAGTAATCAAAACAGCATGGTACTGGAATAAAAACAGACATACAGATCAATAGGACAGAATAAAGAACCCAGAAATAAACCCACAGCTATATGGTCATTTAATCTATGACAAATGAGTCAAGAATATACAATGGGGGTAAAGACAGTCTCTTCAATAAATGGTGTTAGGAAAACTAGATAGATATATGCAAAAAAATACGAAACTAGACCACTTTCTTAAACCACATACAAGAATAAACACAAAATGGATTAAAGACTTAAATGTAAAACCGAAACCGTAGAACTCCTAAGAAAACCTAGGCAGTAAACTCTTTGACAAAGTCTTAGTAATATTTTTTTTGGATAGATCTCCTCAGGCAAGGGAAACAAAAACAACAGTAAACAAATGGGACTACATCAAACTAAAATGTTTTTGCACAGTGAAAGAAATCATCAGCAAAACAAAATGACAACTTAGTGAATGAGAGAAGATATTAACCAATGATACATCCAACAAGAAGTTAATAGCCAAAGAATATAAATAACTCACACAACTTAACTCCATAAAAAACCAAACGATCCAATTTAACAATGACCAGAGGACCTGAATAAACGTTTCTCCAAAGAAGATGTAAGAAGGGCCAATAGATAAATGAAAAGATGCTCAACTCACTAACCACCAGAGAAATGCAAATTAAAACTACAATAAGGTATCACTTGACACCTGTCAGAATAGCTATCACCAATAAATCAACAAACAAGAGTTGGGGAAGTTGTGGAGAAAAGGTACCCCTCGTGCACAGCTGGTGGGATTGCACGTTGGTGCAGCAGCTGTAGAAAACAGTATGGAAGTTCCTTGAAACATTATAAATAGAACTACCGTATGACCCAGCAATCCTACTGTTGGGTATTTATCTGAAGAAAATCAAAACACTAATTCAAAAAGATATATGCACCCCATGTTCACCATAGCATTATTTACAATAGCCAAGATATGGATGGAACCTGAGCATCCATCCATAGACAAACCGATAAAGAAGATATGATACATATATACAAAGGGATATTACTTGGCGATAAAAAAGTGAAATCTTACCATTTGCAACAACATGAATGGACCTTAAGGGTATTATGCTAAGTGAAATAAGTCAGACAGAGAAAGACAAATAACATAATTTTACTTATCTATGGAATTTAAAAAATAAAATAAACAAAACAGAAACACTCATAGATACAGAGAACAAATTGATAGTTGCCAGAAGGGAGTGGGGTTAGGGGGCTGGGTGAAAAAGGTGAAGGGATTAAGAAGTACAAATTGGCACTTACGAAATAGTCATAGGGATGTAAAGTACAGCATAGGGAATATAGTTAATAATATTGTAATGACTATGTTTGGTGTCAGGTGGGCACTCGACCTATCGGGGTGATTACTTTGTAAGTTATATAAATATCTCATCACTATGTTGTACACCTAAAACTAATATAATATTAAATGTCAACTGTAATTAAAAATTAACAAAATTTTTAAAAACTGATGCTGCCAAATCTTATTCATGAACTAGCCTGGTGCAACATAAATCTCCTAATGGATTCCTGGGAAATAAATGCCTTCCCTTCCTGACAGAGATCTCTCTGCACATATCCCCAATAATTCTCTTATTCCTAAAGGTGTCCCAAACAAAAGGTTGTTGCTTACTTACTGAAATCAATCAAACCATCTCACTCATGTCTCTCAAGAATATCTAAATGATCTAATGTGTAATTCTACCTAAGCACTGGTCTCTTCCCAACAACTTACCAGGTAAAGGAGGACTATTTCTGCATCATGAGAATACTTAGACCAAAAGAGCACAAGGGGGAGGTGTTGCCAAGTGATTATATGAAAATTAACTGTAGGTAGGGCATTTCACGAAGCACTGGAAAAGAAAGAGATCCATCCTCATGGTAGCATCATTAACTGAGAAGAGAAGGCCTAGAGACCTGGTAAATATATAAGTCACTATTTGGCATGGCATTTTAGATGAAGTTATTCTATATCCTGAAAAACAAAAATGTACTTCATAAAACAAAGAAAAAGCTCAAAAATGACCTCTAGCTTGGCTTTGACAAGCAACTGCAACACTTTTCTCCTTTCATGGCTTCTTTTGGAATACAGCAAAACTTGGAAGGAAAAGGGAATTGGGACATACAAGGCCTTAAAGCTCAGACAGGCTCCAAATAAGAACACATTCTTCATCACTAGTGTAAACAATAATAAAACAGAGTCAGTTTAAAATGGAGCCGGAGCTGCCATGCCAGAGAAACAACCTTGCACGTCTTATGCCTCAAACTTTGAAATGTTAAAATAGGACAAAATAACCTCTGGACTGGGCATAAGACAACATGTGTCCCAAATAACTGTTTGTAACAATAACAAAAAAACAGTTATTATGACTACTGGACTGATGACTACTGAACTGAAAATTAAAAACATTGTTTAGAATTAGTGTCATTATGTTGTCTGCACCAATGGAAATGCCTTCCTTCAATTGATGTAATTGTTCCTTTTTCATAAATACCCACTGTCTTTCTTTCCTAACTGGAACATTATTTAGGCTTCTGCTGGAATTCTGATTCTGAATAGCCGGTCTTGTTGATCTCAAATAAATGCTTGTTGCCTCTCGCTTTGGCAGGCCTTTTATTTTTAGGTTAGCACCAGCAAGCCCCTATCATCCATATTAAAAATACCAAATGGAAGTATGAGAAAGACTAGAATACTGGTTGACCCATGCCTGTATCATAAAGAAAAGTCAGATTCACTGAAGCCGGGGACTGGAATCTGTTCCTGTTCACAATAGTTTCCTGTCAACAAAGCTATGAAAATGCTGTGGATCTACAATAGGCATCTTGCCCCCACAGAGCTTTCAGAAGCAATCTTTGGAGGAAGGAATCCTGCTCTTGGTGCCTTAATGTCATGTTTCCCCCCACTTGGGGGAAATTTCATATCTAAAATTGTCATAACAAACACAGGGCTGTGCTTTTTTTAGTTGGAACCATCATTTTAGGTCTCATATTCAAATTCCTTTTCACAGCTATTTCTGTGCAATGTGGCTATAAGGTGAAATGACAGAGGCAGTGAAAGAAAACCCAGTGCAACAAATTCCAAGAAACCATGGAACTTATAATGGCTCCAGAATGGCTACACTTAATGTACTGCATGCCTACTGTGTATTAAGTACCAGGTTGGACAATGGATACAGGGTGTACTGATGAAGGCAACAGAGAACATGCTTTAAAACAGGGGGCCTCTGTGGTTAACAAGGGTCTGGGAGTCTTTGACAGGCACAGATTAAGGTACATGGGACCTTGTCCACAAACTCCTCAGCCCAGAACTGCAAAAATGAAGCTCTACCCTCCTAAAAAAAAAAAAAGAAAAAGAAAAAAGAAAAGAAAAGAAAGCTACACTAGGCCAATTTTGATCAGTCTTTAGTGAGTCACAATAGCGCTGTAACAGGAGTACTCGGTCACAGGATAACACACCTCACAGTCACAGCCAACCACGGTCATAAAAAAGGCCCCGCACCACTCAAAGTCCCAGGAGCTAATCAGGGCCTCCCCACTGCGCAGACACCCAGCCCTGTCACTCACTATCACACACATACACTCTCATAATCATATCCTACGCTGACGCAGTCACAGAATCGCACACCCACTCACAATCACCTTCCTCTGAAGGTGACTAACACAGACCCAAGGGGACTCCTGCCTTCCTTTGACCCATCTGCACAAGGGAAACTCCGGGCCTCCTACGGTAAGCTTCTCCTGCACCCCGACTCGCATCACCTTAACTCACCGCACAGAATGCGACCACAAGGCTAGCAGAAAATGAACCAGAGGTGGAAGTTCTTTAGCTCCCCCATGGGCTCAGTGAAACGTAGTCCAAGCCAGAAAAGAGCAGGCGTTGGTACAACCAGACCTGAGCAGCGGCAGCTGGAACTCAGCCGCTCGATACAGGCCGCCCCGTAGCCTCCTGGGAGCTCCCGCCCACTCTGGAGTGCGCAAGCGCAGACTCCTGATCTTGGGCCAGGGTTGAGGCGTGTGTGTCTTGGGGGCTCTGAGAAGGAGGAGGAGGAGGAGGGAGCTGGAAGCTCAGGGTCCGGAGGCCAGACAAGGAAGCGGGATCCAGTGAGGAGGCCAAGGAGAAAACCAGGAGTCTAAGCCGGACCTGTTAATTCTGAGGGAACCGGAACCGGCACCGCGGTAACCAGACACTCAGATCTGTGCAAGTGGGGGGCTTCGGGCGTGGGCCATGGGCATGACCCTTAGGGTGACAGCCGAGTGTGACTGGAGCGAGCTCCGCGAGGAGGAATTTTGTGTTTTGACCTTGAGAAAGCTGCATCGCAGCGAGCGGGGCCTCGCACAGAGGACATGCTGTGTGTGTGTGTGTGTGTGTGTGCGTGCGTGCGTGTGTGTGCGTGTGTGTGCGTGTGTGTGCGCGTACACCGAATGAGGCTGCTTCCTGTCCTAAACTGTTTTTTGGGTGCGTGCTAATCTGCAGGAGATTATGGCCGATTGTGTGTGAAAAGTGGACAGTAGTGTTGCTACGTGGGCTTTCTTTTGCCTTTGTCTATTTTTAGATTAGGTGTGAGTCGTATTTTGAGACTAGGTGATGGTGGAGAAGCGAAAGTGATTTGTGATGTGATTTTGTGATTTTGCCTGGAATTATGTAATTAAATGTGCTGTCTGAGATTGTGAATGATGTGAGAGGGCTATGGTTTTCTGAAGTAAGTTTGATTGAATGTAAACTATGCATGTGTTTGCAACCTGTTATTTTTTGTGATGGTTTTGTGACGAACTGTATGACCACTATCTAGTTGGGTATGTAAGATTTGATTATCTGAATAGTGTTCATTAAGTCTGTCTGCAAAATTGCAACTCAATAGAAACTTAGCAAATAAAACAGGAGTATAATTATTGGAAAGGAAGAGATAACAGTTTTATAGTTCCCAAATGGTAAGGTTCATTGCAGGGAAACACCATATGAACTAAACCAGTCTGTTAAAATGAATAGTGTTGCATGGGTAACATGCAGCAAAAAACAATTTTTACCCATAACTAGTGCTTTCAATACTGATATACAATTGACATTTCCTGCTTCTGGATGAAATTTATGGCAAGGTAAATAGTTTTTTTTCAGGCATTCTAAGAGAATTAAGAGTATTTGGTACACTTTTAATCACAAAGCCAGTCTCATTTTAGTAATTGAAAGTTATTTTGCTAATTAAAATATACTTTAGACTTCACTTAGCAAAATATTATCCTTTCTGCCTGGAAGCCTACTGAGGCTTCTATTTCAATACCTAACCTACTAAAAGCGTTGCTTACTCATTAATACTTAAGTTAACTAGTAGTGAATTAATATAGTTAAATCTCAATAATTAACTGCTTATTAAGTAATGTGAAACAGATGAGTCAATAAAGAGCTGAAGTTGAGAAATAGAAAGTCCAGATATTCTCAAGCATATAGGGATATGTAAAATGGACAGATGGCATTTCACATCAATTGAGAAAACATGGATTATATAATATGTAGTTTTGCTAACCAATGAAGCACAGGGAAAAATCATTACATGGCAAAAATACTTTAATAATCATATGAATAACTGATGAAAATTATTTGCATCTTAAAATAGGTAGAGTTAATTTACTAAATTAAAAAAAAAAGATAATGTCAACCAAATAGGCAACAAAAACCCATGAGAAAAAGACATACTATAAGATCCCATCACAGAAAAGAAATAAAACCTCCTTTAAACTAATTAAAAGGAGCTTATTCTTACTCGTAATAAGGAATCTGTAAATTGGAATTACAGTATGTATTGATAGAGATTAAGAAATGATTGTCGGCTGCACTCATCAGGGTGTGGGGAGGTATTCTCATACTAATGACAGTGTAAATTGGTAGGAAGTCTGTGAAAAACATTTTGGAAATATATAATAAACCCATCCTTTATGGGAGATTATGGTAGAGCTATACAGGGAAAAAGCACAGTGTTCCCTTTCTCCAAACCACAGCAGATTCCCTGGAATTTATTCTACCCCACGAAGAGATTGGGTTTCTGGTATTGGTAAGGGAGCAGGAATTGTCCGATTTTTCCACTAATCTCTGTCCTGAAGTTGAGTACACTGAGTGGGCAAGTGCTGAAACAGTGAAAATTGATATGGATTTAACTGAGAGATTATTCTGGAAGACAAATCAGATATGGTTTCACATAGCTCCTTGTATCTTCCCATCTCTGCCTTCTTAGGACTCTTCTGTTTCCAAAAGAAGAGCACAAAAGAGAAGGTTCATCTCTTGCAAATCTCAAAGCCATGCCTCAGGTGAGATGATGTTTCCTCTCTTAAATAACTTGTTTTCAGGATATATGAACATTTGCTTTCCTCTCCTTAAATTTCCTGGTTATTAGGATTTGCTTCTGTGAAACTGGTCTCCAGCAGGGCTTAGATTAAAGTGAAGTAAACAAGTAGCCTAGAGGCAAAATTTAAGGAGTATGCTCAGAGCTGTGCATCCATAAATTTTGCACCCTAGGTGCCTCGCCTGCTTCACTCTAGTTGCAGTCCTGTTCCTAGTTTCTCTTATTCTAACCAGATAAACTTAAGCCTTCCCCAAGTGTACCTTCTAGTTGTAGTCAGTGTTAATGTATTGATTGGGTTTATCATCATTTCATTTCTCAGTCTTCTCACAAAAGTACTGCTGGAACAGAAATGTATTATCTTGATTTAAATAGGAATATATTACTTGAATGAATCTAGTCTAGATGCTGATTTGAGATCTAAGTTGTGAAGAACAAAGGAGCAGACATGGAAAAACCTCGATCATTCCCACTGACCTAGATTTTGCAGTGATGGGAGGTAGACTTGATAGATCACATCATTAGTTTGTAGTAAAATGTCCTGTTTTGTGAGGTTTTTCAGTATAGGGATTTACTTGTAAGCTTGTCAGAAAACACATTTTGCATTCCTCCTCTCTGATCCTATTTTATCCATGTCTGCCAGCAATTTCTACAAACCGTGGCCTGCCAATGAAAGCCTTTACAATATTCTAATGTTTTTATAGATTTATTATATTTTTAGTTTCTTCTAATTTTTATATGGGTGCAAGAGAAGGAAATGCATATGCTAGTTCACTCTTGAAATAGTCTGCTTTTGAATCAAAGGTGGTACTTTGTTCTGTTTTCATCTTTTTTTTTTCCAGAAAATTCCTCTTCATCTACCAATTTTTAAATACTGGTTTTCTAAAGATGCTAATTGGTTCTCATCTCTTCACTGACTCTTTTTCTCTATTCACAATCAGATTTACTGTAAAGATTATACTAATCAGATTCTAGGGATTCTCAAATACTTCTCTCCATCCTAGACCTCTATCCAGAGAGTCAGAACGATATATCCAGCAGCTAATCACCACCTGTATGTTCCATGGACACTTCAAGTATATTTCCAAGATTTACCTCATTACCTCCTTTGGTTCAGCTTATACTTTCTTCTGTTTCCCATTTTCATTTTCTAGTCCCAGTACCTACTCACTTGCTTATACAAGTAACTGAAGAGCTATTTCTCTTTTTTCTACTCTATAACCAATTTATGACCAATTCTGTTGCAATTCATCATAGCAACCAGTTGTCCCCTATCTAGACCACTAATAATACCTTAATCTAAGAGACATATCTAACCGTGTTTGTCTTTCTCACTTACCACACCTCAAGCTTTCTCTAGTTTTCAAGAGTGTTATTGCCTGTAAAGTACAAATTTTATCACATAACATATGTGCTAACTTAATGTTTCCTCAATTTCGTTATACTTCATAACACAGCAGACCCAAAATGGAATATGCATTACAGTGGAACATAAAAAACAGTATATTGAAAGGGAGGAAAATACTAACAGTTTACAGTCAAGAACAGTGGTCATTAACAGTGTGGATTACCATTAGTACCTACTGATGGTTTATAAATACAAGTCTGTTGGGAGTGTGCTCAGTACATTTAAAGACCATGGCTCTATAGGAAAAAAATCGAGTATGGTTCCATAAATATGTCCACTGCCTACCTCTATATACCTTTTTCTTCTTAGAGCTCATAGACTCTTTCTTAACAAGTCGTATCTTGCTATTTCCTGAATTTACTAAGTTGTTTTCCTCTCCCCATGAATTTTAAAAGCTGATGCCCTATAGCTCTACAAAACAAATTCGTTGTGAGTGCAAAATTTTTATGTCCTCAATGAAGCTTTGGAATACAAAATGATATTTTTCTTTACTTTGTAGCACTTTCCCTTGTACGTAATTCTGTTATTGTATCTGTAATATCTATTGATTGTATGTATTTACATGTAATGCCTATCTCTTAGCCTGTAACTTCTCATGATTGTAGTCAGAGTTTTATTCATTTTGGTCTACCAGGCAACCATTCACATTCAAGGCAAATAGTATGATCTCATAAAGTTTTAGCATGAGATAATAATACAGATGAATGTATTTTCAGAGAGACTGTTCTGCAATATATAACATAAAATAAGAAAACTAGTCTGACCACTGAACATGGTCAGAACTAGATCTCCAATATCTAGTTCTCACTAGTTTAAATCACTTTAGGATGAACTAGAGTATGCCCTTACAGGGATCAGTGTCATTCAAGGATGTGACTGTGGACTTCACCCAGGAAGAGTGGCAGCAACTGGACTCTGATCAGAAGGCCCTCTACAGGGACGTCATGTTGGAAAACTATTGCCACCTCATCTCTGTGGGTATGAAAAACTCCTTGAATCTTTCAGTGTCATTCATTTCTGTTCAAGAGTTTTTGAAACTTATGGAACTTTGGATTTCAGGGATCAGAGGTGATGAATCCCTTTTTGTTAGCAGAAAGTATGATTATGTCCTCACTTGCCCAGTGTAGAGTATTAACTTTGGTAAGACATTAACGTATACTTTGTCTGCTGCCCTGAAGCTATATCTTTCTCTTCCTTCAGTAGTTTTGAAGCCCAAGGAGATTAGACCAAATCTCATTTTTTATTATCAGGATTTCACATGACTAAGCCTGATATGATCCGCAAGTTAGAAGAAGGAGAAGAACTATGGACAACAGAGAGAATTTTTCCAAGTCAGAGCTACCTGGGTGAGTCTATACAGATAAAGGCTCATGGACTCAGGTAGTTGACACCTTTGAATGTTGTGGGTATATTTTTAATTGTGGTAAAGTACATATAACATAAAACTTACCATCTTAACCATTTTTAAGCTGATAGTTCAGTGGCATTAAGTACATTTACATTGTTGTACAACTGTCATCACCTTCTATCTCCAGAATGTTTTTCTCATCTTGCAGAATTGAAACTCTGTACTCATTAAACAGTAACTCCCATTATCCCCCTTCCCTTAGCACCTGGCAACCAACCACCATTCTACTTGCTGTCTCTATGAATTTCACTACTCTTAGGTACTACATAAGTACCTCACTATTCATGTAAGTGGAATCATATGGTATTTGTTCTTTTTGTGACTGGTTTATTTCACTTAACATAATATCCTCAAGTTTTACCCAAATACTTCATTCTTTTTAAGGCTGAATAATATTCCATTGTATGTATATAAAACATTTTGCTTATCCATTCATCTGTCAGTGGACACTTAGGTTGCTTCCACCTTGTGGCTTCTATGAATAATGCTGCTAAGAACACGGGTGTAAAATATCTATATGAGTCACTGTGTTCAGTTCTTTGGGGTATAAAAACCAGATGTAAAATTGCTGGATCATACAGTAATTCTTTGTTTAATTTTTTAAGGAACTGCCAAACTATTTTCCATAATGGCTACACTATTTAAATATTACCACCAGCAGTGCACAAGAGTTCCAGTTTCTCCACATCCTTACCAATACTTGTTATTTTCTGGTGTTTGTTGATAGTAGCCATCTTACTAAAGGCCTGAGATCTTTGAAAAACCTATACATGACTGACTTCCATGCCTCTAAAATCTAAATTTATGTTTGGATAAACATTCCCCATGTAAGTACTTTCCTTGTTGCCTTATGTTTATAGAGATATTAGCTGCTCTAACCTTACCAAGAATCCACTCCATGCTTTCTAGTATAATGTACGTAGAGATCTTAAATGTAAAGTTCTTTGAGTTCTGACAGAAATATAAAGCCATGTATCTCACACCCCAGTCAAGATAAAGGACACTTCCAGTAACCTATTAAGTTCCAACAGGCCTCTTCCAAGTCAGTCCCTCCCACTAGGACAATCACAGTTGTGATTTCTATCAGCATAGATTTTGTCTATTGTAGACTTTTTTTTATGTCTGCTTTCTTTCGGCTTAACGTCTGAGAGATTTATACATGTTTTGGCATATATAAATAGTTTATTTTAATTGCAGAAAAGTATTCAATTGTACGAATACACCAATTTATTTATGCCTTTCTTGTTGACAGACACTTGAAATGTTCCAGTTTGGGGCTATTATGAATAAAACTGCTATGAACGTATTCTAAAGTTTTTTTATGGACATGTGTTTTTACTTCTTCTCAGTAGGCACCTAGCAATTAGTATTGTTCATTCAGAAGGCAGGAATATAACTTCTTTAGAAACAGCCAGTGTTTAAAACTTACTGTACCATTTTAAACTTTTACCAGAAATATATGAGAATTTTAATTGCCTCACATTGTCATCTACATTTGATGTTATCAATATTTTCATTTTGGCCTTTAGAAGGGTATGGTAATATATTTTTGCAGTTGTAATTTATATTTCTCATATAACTAATGATGTTGAGAACTTTTTCAAGTGCTTTTTATATCTTCTTCAAAGGTGTCTATTCAAATATTTTACCTATTTTTATTGGGTAATACATCTTTTTCCTTTAGTAGTAGGAATTCTTTTTTTAAATTAATTTATTTTAATTAGTTTCAAGTATACAGTACATTGGTTAGACATACAGTTTATAAAACGATCCCCTTAATTGCTCCTCTCCTCTGATTTTCCACGTAGCCAATATATTAATGCTAACTGCATTCCCTATGCCATGCTCGCCATCCCTATGACCACTTATCAGTTACTAATTTGTACCTGTTTAACACTTCACCCCATTCTCCCAGCTCCCCAAACCCCCTCCCATCTGTCCATCACCAAATTGTCCACTATATTTGTGAATCTGTTTTTGATTAGTTTGTTCTTTTCATCCCTTAGATCCCACATATAAGTGAAATCACATGGCATTTATTTTTCTCTGTCTGACTTAATTCACTCAGCCTAATAACCTCTAGGTCCACCCATGTCATTGCATATGGTTTGATTTTATTTTTTTAATGGCTGAGTAATATTCCATTGTATATATGAACCATAACTTCTTTATTCAGTTGTCTGTTGATGGATATTTAGGTTGCTTCCATATCTTAGCTATTGTAAATGGTGCTACCATGAATATTGGGGTGCATAGATCTTTATGAATTATTCTTTAGGTTTTTTT